GAATGTTTAAGGTAAAGGGAAATTTATATCCATTGTACCATTCCTTGAACCTTTCTGTGGATTTGAATATTTTCAAAATAAAGAGTTGGGGGAGGGATTTCTTATGTTTATGTTGCTGCTATTCGAAGCCTGGAATAGTATGAGTCAGCCATAGAGTAAGTACACACATACAAGCCATTCCAACATTTGGTAACTAGTTCACTGCTGATGTCTATCTACATCAGCTAAACAATTCCAGATGTAAAACTTGGGGAAAAAAAGAATAGTTTTCAAGGATTGGTTGGCTCCCAAACGTCTCGTGTACATGTATCTGTTCCTGGCAGTGTTCAGTGTTCCCTCCCTACTCCCAGTGACCCCGAGCTGAACTACTTCCCAAACAACTCACACTTTCCAAATGAAATCTTTGTTCACGCCGTTTCCTCAGCCTGAAACACTGTTCCTATTATTTCGCTTGTGAAAATCTTAGTCTTTAAGGCTTAATTCAAATTTTTCCTTCCTGTGTGAAAGTCTCTTCAAGACCGCCACCTCTTCCTCCAACTGGAAGCAGTCACTCCCTGCTCCGTGGTCCCTCTATCTCTCTTGACACACATCCTTGTTCTTTTTTGCATTATGGTCACTTATGTAACAACTCATATTCCCTAGAGAGGGAAAGTTTTAACTCTGTTTCATTGGATGAAGTCCACTTCCTTAGAATAATGGACAAGGCTTTTGTGACTTGGTGCCTGCTTCTTTAGAGTCTAATGTCTTGACACTCCCTTCAGTGGACCTGGTACCACCGCTATAACATAAACCAATTTCTAGGGACTTCTGCACGCCTCAGATCCAGGTCCCTCAATTTCATGGCTTATGAAGCAGCAAAGTGCTCCCCAGGATTCTTGTGAATTCCTGGGTCTTGTATTCCCATACATTACTCGATTCTTCAAATATTTACTTATATTCCTTATTACTATATTAATCTTAGTTACCTCTTGCAATCCTGGTGACTTCTCCAGGCTACCACACCAGCTGCCTTTCTCTGTGCTTCACCTGATTACAATTTAGCCCCTTCTTACAGTTCGGGAAAATAAAACCAAAACCTTTCCTGCAAAGCATTCATGAGTCTGGCCAACTTCTGAAGGAGATGAAGGAGGATTCACATTTTCATGATGCTACAACTTCCCTGAAAAGTAAGCATCCACCTCCCCTTTGTCCCACTGAGGCCCAGGCACTCCATCTGGTTGGTTCCTCTTTCCTCCCCAGTTCTGTCTTGGCTTCTCACTCTCCTCTTTCCATTCCTCCCAGAAGCAAAAGCTTGGCACCAGCCAACCCAAGGACTTTTATCCCAAGTACTTAACAAGGTATTAAACAAAACCAAACAAAACCCCACAGTTTCCTCTTTAAGAGAAATTCTTGGGCCAGCTCTTCAGATAATTTTTTAAAAATCCGTTATAAAGCTATTCATGCCATGCTACACATGCCATACTGTTTCATACCTTAATGCTTTTGCACATTCTGTTCTTTCTGCCTAGAATGCCCTTCCCTCTATAGTTTTCTTGGCAATTTACACTTCCCCACTCAGGACTCTTCTCCATGCAGTCCTCTCTAATCCACGGTAGCTGGCCACCTCCTCATCCCTCTTTGGTACCACCACTGTGCACAGTATTTACCTTTCACTGGGCTGAAATGAGCCAGTGTACACGTCTGTCTTCCATGCTAGACTGTGGGCTCCTTGAGAGCAATCACTGCACTTCACTGACATTCATACTCCCAGTTTCTATCGCAGCCTGATCAATACAATACACGCTAAATAAATATTCATCAAGTGAACGATGAGTTAAGAACGAATGAACTTTGCCCACACTTGAGATTTAAGACTTTCTTAAGGTATAAACAAAGTCTTTAAAAATTTGGAGCCATCACTTGTTTCAGAGAGCTCCCCCTAATTAGGTGCATTTATGCACCTCATGGTGCCAAGTAGAACATTTTACCCAGCTGGCTCTGATGTTTTTTAGGTCATTAATCTGAAAAGCTTATGAGTCAAAAAGCCATTAAGAAACGAATCCTGTTGACTGGAATAGCGTATTTTACTTGTTCAGAAAAGCTGGCCTCCCATAACCAGCATGAGGCAGTTTTTAGTGGAGGCCTCGTCTCCTCCAGCTGCCATAGATTTGCTGCTGCTCAGTTACAAAGTTGTGCCTACTTACAGTAGCAAGGCTTATGATAACCTGTCCAGCACATGGATATGATGACATCTGCTCCCTGCCTTGCTAACAGATTGGCATCCATCTGAGCAATTTCTGTATTCATGTTGGACTGAAGGATGCTGTAAGAATATTTCTAATTTGTATTTAGTTATACAATTATTACATCAATCCAATTTTTACAAACATCTTTATTGAGACATAATTCACATACTATAAAATTCACCGATTCAAAGTGTCCAATTCCGTGGTTTTTAGCATATTGATGGAGTTGTGCAACCATCACCACATTCTAATTCCAGAACATTTTCATCACTCAAAAAAGAAAACTTCCCATAAGCAGTCACTCCCTCTCCTGCACCCACCCTCCAGCCAACTCTAGGCAACCACTAATCGACTTTCTGTCTCTGGATGTTTGCCTATCCTGGACTTTTCAGATCAGTAGAATCACACAGTATGTGGCCTCTGGGGTCTAGCTTCTTTTACTCAGCACAATGTTTTAAATGTTCAGCTATATAGTGGTATGCATCAGTACTTTTTTATTGCCAAATAATATTCCATTGTATGAATATAACACATTTTATTTATCCTTTCCCCAGTTGATGGACATTTGGCTCGTTACACTTTTTTCTATTATAAATAATGCTGCTGGGAACGTATGAGTACATGTTTTTGTGTTGACATACGTTTTCATTTCTCTTGGGTATATAGCTAGAAGCGGAATTGCTGGGTCCTCTGGTAACTCTATTTTTAACTTTCAAGAACTGCAGACTATTTTCCAAAGTGACCGCACATTCTCATCAGCAGTGAATGAGGGGTCTAATTTCTTTACAACCTCACCAACACTTTTTATCATCTGTCTTTTTAAGTATAGTCATCCTAGTAGATATGCAGTGTCATTTCATTGTGGTTTTAATTTGCATTTGCCTAAAGGCTAATGATGTTAATTAATTCAATTTGGAGGCCACACATTTTAATGAATAATTATAGTGATGAAACAGGGCATTCTATTTCACTGTTAATTAATGTTAATTTTTAGTGATTTTGAATAAAGTGCTAAAGAGATTATAGCCTGTTAAATGTCATACTTAGCAAGTGTACTCTATTTCCAGTTTATCTTAAAAAATTCTAACTTGGCTAGATAAAAGTTAAAAAGAAAGAAGTCAAAACTTCAGAGATAGTTTCATAGGACAAATTCCCCATAGGATAATAAAACATACTCAGTTACTATCAAGTATAAGGCAAAGAGACCAATCTTGCATCTTTTACTTAATTTGTTCAAACAGTTTGGTTTCTGTTGGGGGAAAATCTAAACTCCAGTTCCTCTAACATGAATAAAATAGCATCCACATCTGGAACCCAGACCACATGTGAGGCTCCATGGGGTCCGGTCATTCTTTGTTTTGAAGCAAGAAGGCAGCAAACATGTGTTCCCAGCCAAAGAATCCACATTTGCAATAAAATTAAAGGAACGAACAGAGTGATTTCATTTTTGAGTGGTATACAGAACCGTTAAGTGAAATTAGAAATTGCAGTTTAAACAGTGGCTTCAATTAAGAAGAATTTCAAGCACTTTTTTCCTTGATCTGGATTTTTTTGAAAAATGAAAGGATCTAAAAGGTGCATCAATGGCCAATACAGGATATAATATTTGCATAACTCATTTTCAATTACGATCAAATAATATATTTAAGGTCAATAAAATGTAAACCAGTCCTGCAAATAACATGTAAAAAGGACAAATCCATATACCATTTCTGGAATTTTCCCTACCAGTCAGCTTGGGGACCACAGAATGAGAAGAAGCTGCTCTTGTCCATCTAGTCTAGGGAGCAGATCTTAACGGAATTATAAAAGTAAGGTGATCCTGAATGCAAAGGAGGAGAGTGACACCCATAAAGCACACGAGTCAGTTCCTTATCTGACTGTTATACCAGTTTAGGGGGAAAAGTACTGAGAAATGGGACAGAAAACCACATATAAAAAAATTTAAAGGGAGGCCAGCCCGGTGGTGTAGTGGTTAATTTGAGCACTCCATTTCCGTAGCCTGGGGTTTGCCGGTTCAGGTTCCAGGCGAGGACCTAGGCATCACCCATCAGGCCATGCTGTGGCAGCGTCCCACATGCAAAATAGAGGAAGATGGGCACAGATGTTAGTTCAAGGACAATCTTCCTCAAGCAAAAAGAGGAGGATGGGCAACAGATGTTAGCTCAGGACCAATCTTCCTGACCAAAATAAATAAATAAATAAATAAAATTTAAAGGGCTGAAATGTGCAATCTCTTTTTTATTAAAAAGAAACAAAGCTTTTAAACTGAAAAAGAAGTGGGCTATTGATGAATGATTACCTGTCTATAGGCCTTTATACAAAAATATGTTCCTTCTCTCTTCAAGCAATTAAACATAATGAAATGAGCTAAAGATTTATAGATTTTTAGGTTTAGGCATAAATAAGAATTTATTGACTAATAGAGTCATTAGCCACATGAAGTGTCTTCAGAATAAAGTTGTAAGTTTAGGAATCTTTAAGATTTGTTTATATTGATTCAGATAACATTTATCTGGAAACAGGTGGCAAGATAAAGAGTTTTCTGGCTCTGAGATTCTGTAACACTATTTGCAAAACATTAGAGACAACCTGAAAATTTTATTTAATGATGTTGCCTAACCAAAGTGATTTTAAGTTTTGTTAAGTGTAAAGAAATATGAGACAGAAGTGGAAATTTTTTTAGTTTGCATACCTGGTTGTTATCTTATTGAAAATGTACTTTCTATACTAAATTATAATCACAAAATGATCTTTATATTCAATATTTTTTAGGGTTTGATCACACTTTCCAGACATAAAAAATTAAGGGAACTCTCTCTATCTGAGTGCAATAAAATCACCAATCTTGGAGTTCAGGTAAGATAATTAAGGTTTTCTGTTAAATAATTAAGACTGAGAATTAAGCACAAGTTGAATAAACTTTGTAAGTCACAGTAGAAAAAAGAAGTGGATTGGAAATGTAACAACACATATGCGATCTCGGTTGAGGCAAGATCAGCTCCTGACCCTCCACAGCCTAAGGCGACTGAAAGGGTTTGTTTTCTCCTTTCCCCATCTGTGTCCTCCCTTCCCAAGGTCAGACTCATAGGATAAATAGGGATAGGGAGACATTTTACTTGGAGGATGACGAAATGCACTGTGGTCAAAGTCTTCTCATATAAGTGTTCTGTAGGTAGAAACGTTTTATAATCTAACCATGCACTTGGGGAAAGTTTGAAAAATTATACCAGCTACTTGACAATTGGGAACTTAAGTTACTCAAACATAGTGGGTAGCATACTTTACCGGGATGGAAAGCATGAGATAAATAATTGGTTAGGATAAGTGGTTACCTGCTCAATTGGTACTTTAGGAACTCGTAAGAAAGGTCAATTTCCTAGACCTGGTCTTGAGGGATGTACATAAAGTAGCCGTTCTGAGTGAGCAAGCCACAGAGTAACGTTTATCACAACAGTAAGCATCTCAATGTGCTGTTAAGAGAAGAAAAACCAAAATCATCTGTCGTGCACGTATTAAACTAGGGCGAAATCTGGTTACCTATTAGTAAATCATGGAAGGTAACATTTTTAAAGGGAACCACTAACCTAAGAATGTGGAAACTGTTAAACACATTGGAAGCTCCATAAAAAGTATCCTGAGAGTTCAAGACCTCAACCACTTATGAAAACCTGGGGCTAAACTTGGAAAAAAATTTTGAAAAAAGAAACTCTCTTACAGAGATATAAGGGTTCATCCCACAAGTGGAAAGATAATCCAAGAAATGGCTGAGAAGTCACAGGGCACAGCAAAATGGAAGTTAGGTCATCTTCTGTGAATTTGAATTGTACTTTGAAAGGAGTTCTGACATGGCTAACAGGAGAGTGTTAAAATATTATATAAACTGGTGAGCTACAGAGGGTGTCTGATCAACTGGTGCTCTAGACTTTAGCATAGAATCCTAGAGTTCTGGAGCTGAGGGAATCTTAGAGTCATCTAAACCAACTCCCTATTTTTATAGGCGAGGAAATTAAGACCCAGAGGGCTTAAGTGACTGGTCCCAAGTCCTATACCTTCTCAGCAACAAAGGTTATTAAAATAAAAACAGTTAAATATTAACATTTATAATATTGGGTTACATTTTTTTATATGGTGATCAATTACATTTGAGCAATAACTACAAATCATCCAGAAGTATTGAAACCTATTATGGGGATACATGGCCTCTTAATAGCCTCACTTCTTAGTTTTTAAAATGTTCCTTAGGATGAGAGAGTGCCTACCAAAGTATCGGGAAGCCAATGCTTTTTGCCATTTCTCTTTGAGTCTTTGGGTTCAGGCATTTTTATTTTCACTCTTTGGAACCTGCAAACTACACTATTTTTAGGTGCTCTGAAAGTTTTAGATGAAAGTACTTACCCATATGCTAACTATCTGATCACACAGCTGAGTTTGGCATAGCTTTAAAAAAAGTAATCTTTAAAAAATTGGTATATATTTATTTTCAGTGATCTAAAAGAGAAAATTTTAAAAAAGGGGAAATACAGGAGCATGGAGATACAGAATTATTTATTAGTTGCACGAGATCTGCTGTGTTATTCAAGTTCACACACAAAAAATTTCTCTTTCTCATCATCCCGCTTTTTTAGCTACCTGCTTTTAGAGTGTGTGTGTGTGTGTGTGTGTGTGTGTGTAGTTTTTAACCAGTTTTACCCCTTCCTAAGGTTCCAAGGTTCGCACTTCTGGGCATGTGGTAATCTTTCTCCTCCTTGCCTCCTCCAGCCCAATTATTAAACCTCAAAAGAAAAGAGACAGAGGAGGAGAAACGGACGCATAAGCCAATTTCACAATTCCTTATCTGGATTTACAAAAGAGAAGGGAAGGGAGTAATAAGGTGATTAAGTGGAGATGTTGAGATTATCCACAATTTCTTGGGAATTCTGTTTCTTGTCACTTAAAAAAGGTAACTGTAGGAGATTCTTTTTTTTAGCACAAGACATTGGAAACATATTCTACATAATGATTTAATGAGAAAAATGAGAAGATAAACATTTTTACTCTGCTTCAGTTTTGCAAGAATCATTAATATAATAACAACAAAAAATTACCTCATTTTAGTGTTTTACTGGAAACCACAGCACATGGCAGATGGAGTGTCTGCAGCCTCAGATGCATTGACTTTTTAGGATCTGGTTTTAATTACTTTCTCCAACTTCAGTCTTTTCTGAGAACATGAGACATTCAATAGTCATGTTAAACTAAAGTCATCTGGTTGTCTTGAAAGGCACATGCATCTGGGGAGAGATGTTACCAACAGTCGTAACTGAGCATTTCTCAAGAAACCTGGCCCTTGAGCATTTTATGAATTTAGTTAAATAACAGACTGTCACTTTGGCAAAAGGATTGGTTTGATCAGGATGTTACAATACAGATAAATTGGAACTTCTGTCTTTTTAAGTTGTTTGCATAGAACCAATGGAATAAATCTAATTATTTACTCTGGTTGCTTTTTATACTCTCTTACTCTAGTTCACAGTTCTCATTCCCTTTTTTCGGGAAGGAAGTATGCTATAAATACATTAATGTAATATCTATACATATAAATGAGCATATTTTTCTTTATGCACATTATTTGTGGGTGAAAACCTCAAAGCTAGACAAAAATTTTTATTTCAGTGTTGATAGATTGATATAGTTGTTGATTAAGGAAGGTTATTAAAGAGGAGAAAATCAGGTGTAGTTAGGACCCATCACAAGGACTTACGCATGTGTGTATGCAGTGAAAAGTGTGCACATATGTGTGTTTACATGTAAATGTGTATGTAAATGTATTATGTATGTGTGTGCAAATTGTGTACAAGTTTTAGCATGTGTTAGACTACATACGTTTACATGTAAATGTGTGTAATTGCGTAACTATATGTCTAGTGTGTGTGTAAATTAAATATAATACACATCTTAGTGTATGTTAGATTACATGCATATGCCACTGTGTGTATATGTTGTTATGTTTATGAGATATTGTTCTCTCATGGTCATTTTCTCTCTTTTGTCTACATGTGGTTTTGTTATTAGAGAAATGCTGGTCTCATGAAACAAGTTAGGAAGTATTCCCTCTGTCTCTATTTTCTGGAACAGATGGTAGACAATTAGCATCACTTCTCTCTTAAATGTTTGGTAGAATTCACCAGTGAAGCCATCTGGGCCTGGCGCTTTATGTTTTGGAAGGTTATTAATTGTTGATTCAATTTCTTTAATAGGTATAGTTCTATTCAGATTATTTATCCTGTCTTGTGTGAGTTTTGGTAGATTGTTTCTGTCAAAGAATTAATCTGTTTCATCTAGGTTATAAATTTGTGGGTGTAAAGTTGTTTATACCTTTCTTATCCTTTGAATGACTATGAGATCAGTGGTGATGGCCCCTCTTTCACTTCTGATATTAGTAATTTGTGTCTTCTCTCTTTTTTTTTTCTCTTGATTATCTGGCTAGAGGTTTATCAATTTTATTGATCTTTTCAAATAACCAGCTTTTGGTTCAGTTTCTCTACTGTTTTCCTGCTTTCAATTTTATTGATTTCTGCTCTAGTTTTTATTATCTATTTTTTTCCTGCTTACTTTGGATTTAGTTTGTTCTTCTTTTTCTAGTTTCCTAAGGTGGAAGCTTTGGTTATTGATTTTAGATCTCTCTTCTTTTCTAAAATATACAATGCTATAAATTTCCCTCTAAGCACTGTTTTCGTTGCATCCTATAAATTTTGTTTTATTTTCATTTAGTTCAAAATATTTTTAAATTTCTCTTGAGACTTCTTCTTTGACCCATATGTTATTTAGAAGTAAGTGTGTTGTTTAATCTCTAAATGTTGTGAGATTTTCTAGCCATCTTTGTTATGGACTTCTAGTTTAATTCCATCATGATCTGAGAGCACATTTAGTATGATTTCTAATCTTTTCATCAAGGTGTTATTATACTGGAGTCCTATTTGTGCAGTGGTAAGGTGTGTGTGTGGGGGGGGTCATAGGCTATATTCATTTGATTAGGTCTCAGTCTTTTAATGGCCTCTGCCCCAGGGCTGTTATCTTTACAAGTGCTTCTCACCCCGCCTCCTTCCACACTTAGGTAAGACAAGAAGGGTAGAGGGTGCTGGAATTGGGTATTTCCCTTACCCCTTGCCAGATTGGCTCTGGTAAAACCCGTGTTGGTCAGGCTCTGGTAAAATAACTTCCCTTGAGGGCAGGCGTTTATTAGTGAGAACAGCTGCTCTGGAGATATTTCAAAATGGTTACTTTTCCCCTCTCTTTGCGGGCAGCACAAGCGGATTTTTCTCTGATCTTCAACCTAAGAACTTTGTGGGCCTCCTGGAGGTAAAACTCATGAAAGTATAGGGGCTCACCCAAAGCTAGGCCCCCAGAAATTTTTCTCTCAAGCTAATCCACTGTCAGTCTCCAGGAGTTAGTCAATTACCCTTATAATATTCCAACCGATTACTGGCTCTGGCCATAGGCTTCTGCTCCTAGTAAGCCATGATTCTCCATATTTACCTTTCTCTCCAGTTTTCAGGGTGGCAGTTTGCTCTGTGACCTCAATTATCTGACGGATCTAGGAAGAGTTATTGATTTTCAGTTTGCTTAGCTTTTTTCTTGTTTTGAGGTTGGGAGCGATAAGTTCCAAATTCTGACAACAGACTGGAAACTGGAAGTCTGGAACGTTACTTTTGGATCTGTGGATGCTGGCTGAATCAATAGCATCCAAAAGGGATGGCAAATGCAAAGCAAGCTCTGAAGCAGATCTTGAGAGCCCAAGAAGGAAGTCAGAGAACGGCGGGGCTCAGGAGCCAAGGGCAGAGAGCTATAGGTCAGCTGGGCTGGTAGGCAGGCGTTGC